AGATTGCAGTGAGTTTATGAGTTGCATTGTAAAATATGTAGAAGAAAATTTTATGATATTTTTAATATTAATAAAAAAACGACGAATATTTTTGTTTATTATTAAATATTATTTGAACCGTTAACATTGTTCGTAGCCCTTTTTACCATGGAAAGATAAGAATTAACTTTCTCTCTTCATAAGAGTTTGTTTAATAAATCAATAAAGTCTACCCTTTTGTCTTCAACCTAGATAATGCAAGACGTACAGTAGAAAAAAATTCATATGCAATAAGAACTCCACATTATTTAAAAAAGCTTAGTACATATTATTTTAGTATATTATTATTTGTGTTCTAATTTATTGTTTGAAGCTAACAAATATCATTTTTTTAAATAAATCAACAAGAAAAATTTTTTTAAAATTTTACATATTTAATTAAACCAAGCAATCTATAACAAAATAATATTAACGTATAAAAATGCAGTATGATTTTGTTTTTAGTAACAGTAAACAATATGCAATAATTTTAAAAACTAAACTTATGTCATAAAACGGTGTTAAATTTATTCTTCAATATTTTCCAAGACTGGAAACCAGACAAACAATTGTCTCATGTATTTCTGAAGAAGTATTTACTACATCCACTCTACTGTTATTTTGACTAAAAGTAAAGTATTTAATTTATGCTCGAAAGTTGGGTGGGGCGTGGAGATTTCCTAGTATATATACGTATAGTTTTTTAAGTAGATCATTGCACGCAAATCCTCACATTCACCTACAACCCCCTAATCTACTCCCGTTGACCCCCACAACCTCCATAAAATTATAAATCAATTTATATTAATATACGTAGACTATCAGCCATCTTCATAAATATGTATATATTTCCACATTATATAGTTGTTTTGTGTGAAACAGTCACAATTCTCCCCACGCCCCCGACAACTCCACCACAAAGAAAATGGTTGCAAATAGCCACCCCACAAAATAAGGTAAAATTGGTCCTTTTTTACGTGATTCCGACATTCCTAAAGATATGCTTGTCCCACATTCAGCCCCCCTCTCCACATCCCCCCAGGTTTTTTTGGCAC